GTGGTCGTTAACATCGTTAGGTAGGTCAGAATGATCGTTAACATTGTTAGGTAGGTCAGAGTGGTCGTTAACATCGTTAGGTAGGTCAGAATGATCGTTAACATTGTTAGGTAGGTCAGAGTGGTCGTTAACATCGAGGGGGGGGCAGAGCACGCTCTCGGTTCAAGTTACCTGTGTAAAAATTGCTCGAAACCCACGCTCTGCTGCAGCATCTGTGACGACGCGGAGGCAGAGACGGGGTCAGAGGCGGAGACAGAGACAGAGGCGGAGACAGAGGCGGCGGCGGCGGCGGACGAGAAGGCGGACGACGAGATGCTCGACGACGAGTTCGTCCGGCAGGTTTCGCGTGAGCTAGAGGGCAGCACCATCGGCGGCGGCGGCGGCCCGCGCCACGTGCAGTACGTCCAGCTGACGCCCGAGTACGGCATTCACGTCGTCAACCACAGCGGCGCCCCCTACGTCATCAGCATGGAGATATCGAGCATGATGTGGGAGACGGACCGACTGCGCGCGCTGGTGAGCGAACGATGTCGACGGCCGCGTCGTGTCGCGCCCCGGCTCGATTCCGCTCGTGTCGCGCGGTCTTATCGCAGTGTTGTCGCTAGTGTTGTCAATCGGTTGTAATTTCGTAATCGATCATCGGTTGGACCCAACTGCGAGGCGATTATAATTGCCATGACCTTGTGAATACAGCAGCATGGTGGTTCGAACCGATTTTCTTGTGTGAAGGCCTATTTACACGATGCGTCCTAGACGTACGTCCAGGACTTATCAGATTTCCACGTACGTCTAGGACGCAACGGTGAATCTGTTTACACGGTAAGTTTTGGACGTACGTCCATGACTGAGAACAATATATACATATATACGTGTGCGTGTGCGTGCGTGTGTGCGTGTGCGTGTGCGTGTGCGTGTGCGTGCGTGTGCGTCATACACACACACACACACGCGCGCGCGCGCACACACGCACACACACACACACATACACATACACACACACACGCGCGCGCGCGCGCACACACGCACGCGCGCACACACGCACCCACACACGCACACACGCACGCGCACACACACACACACGGCACACTACTTTTATGGTAGTTGTGGACATCCCATTGTCATCTTCTAAAACGACAGACCATCCGCTGACCGCTGTGGAGACGTGCGCCGGGCCTCCAATTTGGCGCACGTCTCCACTGCGGGCAGCGCTTCATACTTGAACATCCCCGCGGTCGCGTGCGCATATCCCGCGGAACTGCGCGTCTCATCCGCGCGCAGCGCTCAGGATCTACAGCAAAGCTGTGCCACGCAATCTTGTATCATGTCTCTCTGGATTCCGCTCGTGTCGCGCAGTCTTTGATTTTATCGCGAAACCTGTGTTACATTAGCAATCGTCTCTGTAGAACGGACGTCCGTCTGTAGCGAGCACTCGTGCCGTTTCCATTCGGTTGCAGTTATAGAGTGAAAACACCTCTATAGAACAGCCACCTGGCTCGATTCCGCTCGTGTCGCGCGGTCTTATCGCAGTGTTGTCGCACGTAGTCGAAGCCTGTGTTACATTAGCAATCGTCTCTGTAGAACGGACGTCCGTCTGTAGCGAGCACTCGTGCCGTTTCCATTCGGTTGCAGTTATAGAGTGAAAACACCTCTATAGAACAGCCACCTGGCTCGATTCCGCTCGTGTCGCGCAGTCTTTGATTTTATCGCGAAACCTGTGTTACATTAGCAATCGTCTCTATAAGCCATATCGGAAAGTCCCCGCTGCCATATTGAGATCAGATAAGAGGGGTGATAAGTTGCTTATATATAACATAGTTACGATAGTACTAGTCTATGTTTTTCATCTATAATTCTTCACTAACATCGTACTTCAATTCACAGATGCGTTTCTGTTTACAGAAACATTTACAAATATGATTGTGGTCATTTGCGATATTTTGCAATGTTTGTGCTAATGCAAAAACTAAAAACGCACGAGTGTTTACATTAATCATGTACTTTCCGTAGCGCGCTGTGGCCATTTTATCCCCTTTTTTCTATGACCTAAATAACACAGCTGGACTTTCCGATATCACTTATAGAACAGACATGCGTGTATGACGAGCACTTGCGCAGTTTCCCTTTAGTGGCAGTAGTGGAGTAAAACCATCTCTGTAGAACAGACACCACCTGTCTGTACACGGCACTTTTGGGCGTCTCCCTTGCGCGACCTTTATATACATACTTGCTGACTACCGACTTACAGATATACAGAGTGAACTTGTAATAATGTTCCCGTCTGGATGGACAGTGGTGATCGTATATAGAATGTCGTTGGTAGTTGTGAAGCTGCTGTGCAGGTTGCAGAGTTAGTCTTCTATATTGTTTGCTTGATGCAGCTGAGGAATAAGAAGCTGGCTGTTCCTAGACTGGTTCTGTCGGAATCTGAACAGCCTGCGCTGTTCATTGAACTCCGACTGAACTGCCTCCTGTCAGTCAGCAGTGGGGAGCAGACCCATGTGACGCTTTACGAACTGAAATGGTGAGCAACTCGCATCGGATGTTGTATCTAGAAATTGATCTAACCATCGGAGGGAAACAAACAACCCCCCACCTTGGTTATTTTTGCTCGGTCCGATAAGGCTAGATATTATGTTTTGTCCATGGACAGCAAATGTGTGGCAAAATTTCCCGTTTTGTTGGCGACAATGCTTTTGTTGTCAAGCGTTGTCTTTTAGAATGCCAGACCTGCCTGTCATTCAGACCAGGCAGGTAGGTCCATCACAGAATCGAGAGTGGGTTATTTCGGCATCCGAAAAAGGGATCGAATGTATATCGGGCGGTAGACGGAGTGGAACAGGCCATTCTATGTACTTTTCAGCATTCCTCTGATCCTAGAGACATTTAAGCATTCATCTGAAGAGCTCAGGGCGAGAATAGCAGAAGAGATTGGCAATTTCGACGCCCAAGACCCATACTGGACGGTAAGCCTGATGACGTATTATGACCGGTCATTTGTTTCTGTGAATTTGTACGGAAATAAATAAGCAGATTATCAGTGAAGTCATGGGAGCAGATGTCTGAATAAAGATGTCCTACACCGACCTGGACCCAGCCATAATCACAGTCCAATACAGCTGTGTGTTCCGTTTGCTCTCTTTATTATACTCTCTGTATTACATGCGGTGTATACCGTACACTGTGTGTATCACATGCTGTGTGCACAGAGATGTGATAGAGATTCTGTCGTCCGTGTAGCATTGTTTGTCACTTGTCACTGCCTAACGAATATCATTTCGTAGTGATATCGATGCTGTTTAAGTAATCGTCGTTGCACGCACGACTAAGCAGCTATCGTTTTGTTGAACTCAGGGCATAGAAGAAGAGCAGAGTGAGGAGGCTGAGACTACGGAGGAGGATGCTGAGGAACCAGAGCCTCTTATCTGTGACCTTGGTGTGGACGAGCTTCAGTTGAGAGAGAGGGCGCTGCAGTTCCGACGGTGCGTATTTCACCATCGGTCATTCATTAGACGAAAAATTTTTGTTACAAGATCAATTTAATCGACCTTATTCGTTAATAGTATCCACTACCTTACAGAACTGTGCTCCTCCTTGGGTTTGGTGGATATTTGCTACTTTCTCTCAGTCATTTCATCTCTTGAACCTACATATTTCACAAGATTTATCAATTGGGAAATATGGCATTCATTTCCGAGAGGTTACGTCTTAAGTGGAAACCCTGCATTAATTACTGCAATCTATTATGAAGCAAGTTTCACATACAGAGGTGGTGCACAGGGGGGGGGGGCAGTAGTAATGAACTGTAAATTCCAAATGAAAGTGTAGATAACGCTTTGGCCGAAACTTCGAATCGTCATACAAAACTCGCTCAGCCAATAACCTTACATCGCATCTACGCGGCTTGAGCCGTAGCTGTCGCCGTCTCTCGTTGCAACACGTTTCCATCGGCGCCCCCTGGTTGCGACGCGTTTCCATCGGCGCCCCCTGGTTGCGACGCGTTTCCATCGGCGCCCCCTGGTTGCGACGTGTTTCTATCGGTGCCCCCTGGTTTGCAGGATGCGCATCCTGGAGGCGATGACGTCAGGCGTGATGTCGTACGCGGCGGGAGTCGACGAGATGAACCTCGTGGAGACGCAGATTGCCTACACGCACCGTCTCATACAAGACCAGCAGAAGCAGCAGCAAGAGCAGCAGCAGGTGACCAAGTCTACAGGTACGCTGGCAGAGATGAGCGTGCCATACAGGTACGCTGGCAGAGATGAGCGTGCAGTGTGAGCTGAGTGTGGCTGAGAGGGTCTATGTCCCCCAGGGTACTGCCGGAACGTACCCTGGTACTATCTAATCACAGGCCCTTGGTCCTTGGCCCTTGGCCCAGGGCCTGTGATCTAATATGCCGGACCGTACCTCTCCTACTCCACTAACGAGTCTAGGGAGTCGCCTACGCCTACTCCCTAACTCTAACCCTAACCCTAACCATATCAGATAGTTACCAGGGTACGTCCCGGTATACCGGACCATACCCAGAGTACGTTCCGGCAGTACCCTGGGGGACATAGACCCTATGAGCCAGAGGGTGGTAGCCTCTGTCATTGTAATTTAAATGTCCTTCTGAACGAGACAATTTTTCCCCATGGATATTTTTAGCTAGGTCATTAAAGCTGGGCCAGTTTATACGTATTTTTTACGCCTGTGCGCTCTCAAATGTCGAGTTTTAGGTATTTGTTGCCAAGCATTTTTGTAGAATGTCCACAACAATGCTGATTGGCGAGAGCTGCCTATTACTCACTCAAGGCAGATCGACGGATCGTGTTCTTTTCGTGATTGATAATTTTGTTTGTTAATTTGTGTCGTCTGTTGCATGTGCATTTAATTATTTGTCCCTGTTTCAGGATGGTCATGCTGTGCTTTATATCTGGGATATGTCAGGAGAAACGGATAAGTGCATTAATGACATGATGAAGCTGGCGGGCCATGCTGACTTTGAGCTAGTTCCTGACAGTGACACAGCTGATGCAGACAAAGAGGTTTAAATTTACTGAAATTGCTCTCTATATTTCTTTGTGTATATGCGTGCATGCGTATATACGGAGGTGTCTGGGTGCATGCGTATGTGCGTGTCTGTGTGTGCATGCGTATGTACGAGCGTGCGTGCATGCGTGTCTGTGCGTGCGTGCGTGCGTGCGTGCGTATGTACGTACGGTGCGTCTGCTGTTGGCGTGCGTGCCGTGTCTAATGTGTGCGTGTGTGGAGCATGCGCGTATAGTACATGCGTGCATGTTTGTGTGTCTGTGCGTGTGTGTGTTGGCATGCGATATGTAGCACGCGTGCATGTCTGTGTGTAGCGTGGCGTGCGTGCGCTGGTCGTGCCGTGTCTGTCTGTGTGTACGTGCGTGCATGTGAGGCTACTAAGCCGCACGGCGGTGATAAGCGGCAGGCTCTGGTTTCCCTGGCAGGTGTCTCGCCAACGACTACATAGGCCGCCCGCAGCCCAGTGTAGGCTGGGCGAGCACTGTCAGAGACTAGATAACGCCGCACCTGCGCCAGGGAGCACAGGGCGCCGCTCGCAGTGCAGCTAAGCAGTGAGGGGCGCAGGCCTGAGGTGAACATCAGAGCAACTTTCTGGGGGGGCACCAACAAGGAGCAGGACAGCTGATGGCGACGTGAGCCAGCGCAGTACAGCAGCTAACATGTCTTTGAGGTGGGTAGTGTAACGGCCAGCTGGTTAACGATTTGAGCGGTGGGATGTGCACACAGTAGCAACACGCTACACCCATATCAGATTAGGCTTAGGTAGGGTAAGTGGCTTCGTTAAAAAAAACAGAA